GGTGTATATTTTACGGGCAACGCCGTTTTCTTCTCAGCGGATGGCAAGTTTATGTATTGTTGTTGCGGTACCGCTGATACGTGTACCGATGCGAGACGCACTTTGATGTTACATGTTGTGGGGATGCTGCGCCGCCGACTCGGTGTGCCGTCTGCAAACTGTTTTTGCTATTATTCTTCTTCCTTTCCTCTTGATGCGAGTCTTGGCTGGGTTGGCGCTGGCGTCTGCGCATGGGCATTGGATGAGATGCGGTTTGCTTCACACGAGGAGAAGGAGTCGTTTATGTTGCACCTCCGCGAGACGTATCGCACCGTCATTCGCCTTACACGGGAGGAGGTGAGGAATTTTGCCGGTGAATGCGTGGAGATCATCTCTTACTCGCCGAATTACGGGCCGACGAGGCGGCGGCTTGTCGTCTCGTCTCACGCTCTCCGCTCACTGTCGGAGCATAACCGCTCCACACTGATGGCGTGGTACGGCGAGGGTGGGTGCATCGTGCCGGATTTATCAACGATTGAACGCATGGGTGGGTATTCAGCGAGGTCTATGCTGCTGTCTGTCGTGACGCACGGCTCGGATACGCCACCGCCAAGTGGCCATGGATTCTTCTCATTCATTGGCATTAGGGCAAGGGAAAGGGAGAGTGCATGCATGGAAGTTACAACTACTTACAAACGGAAACCAAATTGACTGTCTTTTTTTTTTTTTTTTCTTGCGGGACAATTGATCTTTATTATTATGACGATTATTATTTTAGTTATGACTGTTCAGTTATTGTGTTGTGGCCGCTGGTATTGTATACGTGCGGCCTTATTTATCAACGCCGACATTTAACCCCTTTTTTCCCTCCGCCGCTCGCCCGACAAATTGGGCGCGGCCAGTGAGTGGTCGAAAAAATTGCGGTGGGGGATGAATTGAATGAATGGCAGTTTTCTCCGCCTGCGTCTTCATTTGTAATTCGCTCCCTTCTCATCCGGTCTCCGGCTTCTTCTCTTACTGTGCGCATGTGCTCACCTCTCCCAATGTACACTCAATCTCCCACTCTCTCTTTGGCTCCTTCTCTCTTACGGCCACGTGTGCAATTCCTTTTTTTTTTTTTTTTTTTGCTGCGTGTGTGTTTGTGTTTACTCCGTCCTCCATTTGCCTTTTTAAGGGTGTTTTTGTTTTCTCTCCCGTCGAGATTGCTGGGTGAGGGCGACCACGCTGCGAACCACGTGTGTGTGTATGTGTTTGTGGTGGAAGGGACATAGGACGGCTACACAAGCGAACAAACACACACACAGACAGAGACACGCGCTGAATATCATACAGTGTTTTATCTACCATCATTTAGTAAAGTAAAATTTTGCATTGCGACGCCTTGCGTGGGGAGGAGGAGTGTACATTTGATAAAAGTAAGCAATGAGTGAGGTGCTTCTTTTGCTTTCCATGGCGCCTGGCAGTAACAGTGGAAGGTTTGAGAACCCTTCTATGCATTCCCTCTCTGCCACCCGTTCCGTGCATTTGGGAGACACAACTTTCGGAGAGGGAATTCCCCCGTCGGTGGACGATTTCCAAGTAAAATGTGTTGGGCTCCATCAACCACCTCTTTACGAGGAGGAGCGTCACCAGCGCATGTTAATTATGTTAGAGTGCAAGTTGGAGTTTATGACGCTAGTGATGTGGTGCTTTGCAATGAGAATGCGGATTGAAAAGGAGCTTTTGCGGGGCCGGATGCAATCCGTTCAGCTGCAGGAGGCCACTTTGCAGCACCGCATGACTCGCTTTGCCCATGTGGAGGATCGCTTTGGGCGCCCTGTGAGAAACCCTACATTTCGTGTGCTCCTGCAGGATGAGTTTTTTGAGAGGGAACACATTGCGTTACAAGAGACTGTAGAGTTCTTGAACGTTTGGGCAAGGATGATACCCGCACGGATTTCTATGATGCAGGGACCCGCTTTTTTTGCTGAGGTCATGGCAAGTTTAAGGAGTCAAGGGCATGCGGCATTCTTCTTTGAACCAAATGTATTAGCCACAGCCTATCCAGACAAACGCCTGAGTGCATTGCGCAAGACTGTTCGGGGCCTAAAAAGCGATCTCGCCACTATTCACAGCGAGGCGGAGGTGCTCAGTTTCACACTGGATGAGGAGTTTAAGGTTGACGAGGCGGAAATCACCCTAAACGCCATGAAGGCAGGTGAAGAAGGCGAGGTGTTGACTGGAAGGGATGCGGATTACTGTGCCAATGTCATGCGGCTGGCCACGAAGCAGATGGACAAGCTACGCGGCAGTTTGTTTAGGCTCAAGGAGAGACTGCACGAGACGGAGCAGTCTCTGACTAGCACCAAAAGATCCTTGCTGGATGAGAAGGAGCACAGCGCACATTTGCAGCAAATTCTGAACGCCACAGAGGAGATGGCGGCGGCGGTGGCATCGCAATGCCAGTTAGGCTCTTCTCGAGACAATTCATCTGCCCAACACGAAGATGTCGCGAGACCGTCGGGGGACGCGCCATCGACATACACGAAGGGGGTGCTGCAGGAGCTCCGTCGATCGATGTTAATGTTGAAAAAAGAAGTAGATTGGCAGAAGGAGAGGGCCCAGCGAGGGTTTCGTGACCGCGACGCGGTGCTGGAGATCGTATACACCCAGGTGGAGAGGTTAGCAGCTCTCATGCCATCTTCACATTCCTTGAATGAATTGAAAAGGGAGGATATTAACATGACGAACATTGCCTCTATCATGGAGGAAATCATAGCAGGTCTGATGGCTCTGAAGAATGATCGCAGCAGCAACTGTGTGAAGGATGTCCAAACCCCTCAGACTGGGCCCGAAGAGAGGGAACTCGCAGCGATGAAAGCGACCATTGAGCAACTGCGTTCAACGATTGAGCTGCTGTTGTCGGAAAAAGGCAAGGCAGGTGATGGTCGCCCTGCTGTTGCGTCTGCCGCTCCGCCTGTGCCCGTTTTAAACAGTCAGACGGATGTACTGACGATGGCGCTCCGCCGTCTTGAGGAGGTGCGGGGTGAAAAAATAAAGTTGGCTCACGAGCTTGAGGAAATGCGACGGCATCCACGGCTTGCGGGCTGGAGGTCGCGTCACGGAACCGCCGCTGCGGAGAGTGAGGAAGAAGCAGAGCATGATGACAACATGTGGGTGCAATCCGTTCACCGTCTTTCGGAGGCCAACACGCTTCTACAGGAGGAATTGAGGCTGGAGCGGGAGGCCGGACAGTCGCTGAGGACGAAGCTTAAGGAATCCGAGCGTTTCATAACTGAGCTGCAGAAGCAGTGCCGTCGACTACGCCTGAGTGGACGCATTGATCTGTGCGAGGTCATTGAGCAATCAGGGAGTGACAGGGATGACGATGACGAGGAGGAGGACTCAGACGACAGCGACGGTGACAGTACGGCGCGTATTCCTTTCGAGGAGAAAAAACAAAGGGAGGTGGTAAAGAACACAGAGGGGATGGGCTTGGGTGAGCAGATGTCTACAGAATACTACGCTCAGTCTCATTCACCGCATTCTACGGTGTTGACAGACACCTCATGTTCACTGGGGCCACTAGTTGGGACCCTAGGGTCGTCCCATTTTATGGATCAGGAGAATCATATGGCCTGTGTGCGAGATCAGAAAAGGTTGTTGAAGGCACTGTGTGGTATACACGGCATAAAACTTGCTACACTCCTCATTGGGAAAGGAAGCCAGCAGTCATTGTGTAACATGCATGAAATTCTGAGTATGTTTATTGCCCGCAGTATCTCATTGCACACATTTTTTAAATGCACTGGAGCTTCTGCTCAAGTGCTGCGACACGTGGCAGTTATTTATCCGCTTCCACCCAATGAGATGCCATTTTTGCATTGGCGTCGAATGCTGCACCCCCTCAAGTACCAACGAGGATCATCGTCTAAGGAGAACAATGGGCCATCCGTGGAGGTTTTTGACCTTTGCGAGGAGTTTCAGGCCTTAGGAAGGTTCCTGCGCGGGTGCATGGATGTCTGTTTTTCCCACGATGGTCGCTTTATGTATGCACTAACTTCTGCAGATTCAGCTGTCATTGCGCGGTTGTGCTCGTCTGAGTGTCTTAACATTCCTGAAGAACACCAATTTCGTTTCTCTGCTTTTTTGCCGAAAGGAATGACCCCCCACAGGAGTGGGAGCACCGCCAGCGGCAACGGCAACGGCACAGTGTCCAACAACGTTATGAGCACCGGCGATTCAGACCAGTCGCCGCTTCCAATAGATATGTTGGGATGGTGTGGACGAGGTGGAATTTGCGCATGGGCGCTGGACTGCATGCAATTTGATTCTGCTGCAGAAAAGGCGCGTTTCGAGAGACACTTGAAGAGCGAATACCGCCTCGTGCTACGTCTCTCTGCCAAGGAGGTGCAACACTTTGTGGGCGGTAGTGTGGAGTTGATGGGGCTGACGGTTGTTGGAAGGACCGTTTCTCGGCTCGTGATGTCACTGACAGCGTACGAGGCGCTCTCGCCGCCGCACCGTGCCCAGATCTTGCAGTGGTACGGTGGGCCGCAGGGTATTTTGCTGCTAAACGTTATGAACATTGAAAGTCTGACGGGTGCGCCTTTGCGGCGTCTTCTGGCGATGGTGCAGTGGCACGGTCGTTGGCCGCTCTCCAAGACACCTCCACGAGAGGCGCTTGAGCGGTTTGGCTTTCAACCTCATCAAAAACAGCAACGGCGGCCATAACAGACACGGCAGTTTGTTTGGTTGTGTTGTCGGTGCCTCTGGGTCTTCGTCGTTGCTGCGTGTGTATTTTTCTCTTTCCCTTTCTCTATTTCTCTCTCTATCACTGTATTTTTTTATTGGCCGCGTTTGCGCTGGCTTGTCTCTTTCCATCCATTTTTTTTTTGTCTTTTCTCACCGGCTGCGAATTGAATCACGTGCGTCTTTTTTTTTTTTTTCTTTGGACTTCTTTCTTTTCTCCCCTTTGGCCGTTGTGGAAATAATCGGGGGAGGGGAGGGGCTTTTGAGGCCGTCGAGGCGGTTGGCAAGAAATGGCAGGCGATGAGGCGCTGCTGCACATTTTCGTCGGTACCCTCTCGGCCGACAAAACGACGCGGGAGCAGGCGGAGGCGACCCTCACGCATATCTCCGCCGACCCGCGGCTGATCACGCGGCTCATTCATTTCTCCTGTCAAGAACTCCCGTTTCATGATGTCCCTGCGGAAATGCAGCAGGCGTTGCAGGCCGCATCCATACGTGTGCGCAACGTGTTGGGCCGCAGTGACTGGAATCGAAATCCGTACTTTACTGAGGAGACGAAGAGTGCCGTGCGGGAATGCATCGTTCCACTTCAGTGCGGGTCACATGTGCCGGAGTTGGTGCGCCGACAGCTGCTCGCCGCCACGCAAAACCTCATATGCTACGACTACCCGCATCGTTGGCCGTCGCTGATGCCGCAGCTGAGACGAATACTTGACGAGTGTGGTGCACACCTGTGCGTTTTATCAGACGCATCATCGTCGCGGGAGGTTGCCACGCTGCGGCTGAAAGGGGCTCTTGGCATCCTGCGGGCATGCTGCAAAGTCTACAATAATCCAATTAAAATTGACGCGGATGATATTGAGGCGTTCATTGATGCTTTTTGTCCATTGCTGCTGTCACTCACAGAGATGCTGGTATCCGTGTGGGCGCAGGAGTTACTGGCGCAACAAACGCCGCCACCGCCACCGCCGCAATTGAATGGCATCCCGGACCCTTCTTTCCAGTTTAGCACGAAAAGGAAAGAGAAGTGCATGTTTGTTTTATCTTTGTGGCACAACGAATTGTCTCACTGCCTGCGCATTGCACTCAAGTGCATTCATTCACTCACCGAGGCGCGTTGGCCACGTTTTCTCTGCGACCAACCAGGGATGGATCGACTCTGCAAGGGTTGCCTTGGCCAACTGCTGGACGCGAGTCACAAAACACTGCTGCCACTCTATCGTCTACGCATCCTCAACAGTGACTGTGGCGACTCGAACCTTTTTTCCTTATTTCATGAGTCCGCTGTGTGGAAGCTGTTGAAATGGACGCAAGGCATGTGTCTCAAGATGATGCAAGATCTGATGTTTCCAAAGAGATGCGAGCGGCGTGCACGCGCGGCGGCGAAGTACTTCTGCGATCATTACCTGCCGGGGTTTGTGCAACACGCACTTGACCTTGTACGATGGCATGCGACGCCTCGCCATTTGACGTCCAAGGCTTACATCATGTCGCTGGAGATTCTCACAATGGCAGTGGATGGACGGGAGGCGTACCGCAGCGTCATTGCACCAAATGCGGAAGAGATTTTTACTTCACTCATCTTTCCGCGTCTCACCTTTTCGGCTGAGGATGCCGAGTTGTGGACATCTAACCCTGCCGAGTATGTGCGGCTACAAACAAGTCCCGCTGGGGACCTGTACAGCGCGAAGGTGGTCTCCTCAGGTCTTATGCTTACTCTGGCGGCATCATCCAAACCATTTCACGACGCGGATTTTGTGCACCACGTTGTGCAGTATGTCCTGGAGCGGCTCACAACACACGCCAAAGCAGCGGCGCAGGGGGATATGGAGGCGGCACGAGTTGTGGATGCCTGCCTCTTTGCCATTTATCAATTTAACAAAGTTCTTCGCTCCATTGGCTTTGGGGATGATCGGGTGGAGTGGCTCTTGACAAATTATGTGGCACCTGCAGCGAAGTATCCTGTTGGATTTCTACGGGCCCGCAGCATCCTGGTGTTAAGTGTTTTTGCGTCTAAAATTCACTGGAGCAGTCCACAGGCGTTTCAGTTTGTTCTCTCAGAGATCCTCCCACTTCTGCAGGATCCCGAGATGCCGGTGCGAATGCAGGCATGTGCCTCCATCGCCTCCCTTATCTGCCATCCGCATGCAAGGGACGTCATTGCACCCTGCATCAGTGACGTCATTCAGCACTATTTTTACGCCATGCGCCTCATGGACAGTGAGGGGGTGGTCCGCACCCTGCGCAGGACGATCAAACACTACCGTGATGTTCTCTCACAGTGGGCACTACATCTCACCGAAATGTTGGTGCAACACTTTCTCCATGTCCTGGAGCGGGTACTCGCCGAGGAAGTTAAAGATTCTGAATTCACGCCATTTACAGAAAACACCGGTGGTGACGCACGGTTGGATCCACTGGTTTCCGATGAAGATGCTGTCGCGGACACTATCATGACCGCTGATGAGGTCTTGGAGACACTCACAACACTTGTGCGTGCTGTTTCTCAGCAGGAGGTGAACTCTTCTTCCAAGGCATCAGGGGAGGGTGGCCTCATTCTGCAGATGCAGGAACGCATTGCCCCGTTGCTTTATGTTGTGCTGTCGAGGGAGAAAGGGAGTTGTCTTGGATTTATGGATGCCTCGCTCATGTTGCTCACAACAATATTGTCACTGAGCTCTGCTGTCGCATCGCCCATGTGGCGGCTGTTGCCATGCATCCATCAACTTATCGTGCAAGGCGCCGTGGACTACTTTTACCAGATGCTTCCGCCACTGGACAATTTTGTTTCTGTGTCACCTGAACAGTTTCTCCTTTTCCCGATGAGTGACCTCTGTGCGGTGCCGGAGTTCGCGGCGAACATGGCCTCCATGACACCCGCTCAGATCGTCTGTATGATGTGTGATACCGTGATGCAAAGCAGCCACCTCCTGCACCTGCGTGATCTCTCTGCTGTTCCCAAAGTGTACGACTCCATCCTGCAGAACTTGTGGCTTTTCAAGCAGCGGGAAGGAGGAGAAAACACAACAGCCATAGCAATGGCAGACAGCCTCGTTGAATACATCCTGCAGGCCGCACTTCGCGTGTTGAATGACTCTTCTAGTCAAGAGAAGCAACGCCGTACGCTTACGCTCCTCTTTGCCAATAATGTGCTTTCCGCGATCCTTGCGAATGCCGCACTCACTGTTAGAATGCTCTCTAGCGCCGGGGTGCTTTTGCCGTTTTTTGTTCATTACATACGGCTTGTGCAGGAGGAAACCATGCAGGTGATGCTACGATCGTACGACCGCCGTCTGTTTGTCATGGCCATAGCAACTCTTGCACGGCTGCAGACGGAACAGGCGGAGTTGGCAGCGAGTCTGGAGGAGGTGCTCTGCGGCGTTTTGGAGGGCGAAGTGCTGGAGAAGTACAGTCATCGCGAGGGTGCGATGGTCATCACGGAGGTGGGAATGCGCGAGTCACTCAGCGATGGGGACGACTATGATGAGGAGGAATGGAGCGGCGAAACCGAGAGCGACAGTGGGGATGACGACGAAATGGAAGATGAGGAGGATGAAGAGGAGGAGGCGTTGGGAATGGAGAATGATAAATGTCTGCAATCGCTCCTCCATTCGGCGGCGGATGTGCTGAAAAGGGACGCAGCTGCCGCCGATGACGGGGATGACGATGAGGGGGAGGAAGACAATCTTCTCGACGAGACTGACTTTGTGGCTCCTATCGATGCGCGCAACGCGTGGGCCTTTTTGCTGGAGTCCTTCCGTCACGCATCGGCAGCCGCGTCTACACGTTTCTGCCAGCTTGTGGGTGATGCCAACTCGCAGCGGCAGTTGCAGTCCATCATGCAGCTGAGCGATGCGGTGGAGCAGCTGCTGGCGGCCCGCGGGAGGCCAAATGCCGCGGACCCCCATTCCCCTCTTCCCCACCCTCCGGTGCGTGAAAAGTTAAAGCCGCACGTTTTATAATTTTCCCCTTTCTTTCATCCTCATGCGTCCCGGCCGTGTTTCTAAGCGGTGTGTGTGTGTTTGTGTGTGAAGAAGAAACAGGCAAAGAAAAAAAAAAAAGGAGGGACTGCGTGGAAACCACAACAGTCATCATAAGTTATATATAAATATAAATCCACAAACACGCACATACACAAGTAGGGAGGAAGGGAGGGAGGGATAAATAAGGAGGAATAGAGGTTTGTTGGCGTTACTTACTTTTTACTCCCTCACGGTGATCTTGAGTTCTCTCTTTTTTTTTTTTTCTCTTATTTCTTCCATTGATATTATTTGTCTTTCTATCATTTTGTTATTTGTAGCATTTATTTATTTGTTCTAGTTTATTTTTTTATTTATTTATTTTTTGCTGCTGCCAAGGTGAGCAATGCGGTCATCTATGTTGCTGCTTTTGCGAGAGATGTTGCGGATGGTCAAGAGATGGGCAGGCCTTTTTGCCACGGTGTCTCTTATTATGGTTTTTGTTCAGACGGTGGTGGTGTATCTGTATGCCCCTATGCTTTCCCGCGTGCCGACGTTCATTGACGTTCTTCTGACGTTTATTGCCGCGTCGGCGTTCTTCATGACGGTGTGGTCGCTGGCTTTATTAACCACGAGACATCCGGGGGTGACGCCGTCGTGCCTTGCTGAGGAGCGCATGGAGGAATTTATGCGTGGGGTGCTTGCAGATGTTGTGCAGCGAGGCGATGCGGATGAGACGCATGAGGAGGGGGTCAACGGGGAAAAAGGCACCGTCTCCCACGACATCGCCGCAGCGGAGGCGAAGGATTGGCTGGAGGAGGGCCACAGTGTCAACAGGGCAGTTGCCGCCGTGCAAGAGCCGCATTTACGCAGCGCTAACGCCCATCAGGATTCAACAGACATTGCAGTGGATGTTATGAACGCTGCGGAGGACTTACAGGTGCAACAAAAACAACAACATGAAGGGCAGCAGAAGCAGCAGCAGCAGCATCAGCGAATAACTGATGGGAGTTACAAACGTTGCCGTCGTCATCACAATTTCGGTGGTGCTGACGGCAAAGATTTGGAAGGTTCTTCCGGCAAGTTATGGTTGCCGCACCGGAATATCTTTTTGGTCGCTTCCGACGCCCTTGCGGCTCTTGACCGCTCTACCGAAAGCTGTGAACAGGAGATGTCATTTCTTCTTGGAGGGGCCCGGCGCTGTCGCTTTTGCCGCATCTACAAAATTTCTGAGACGCATCACTGCTCGAAGTGCCGTATCTGTGTGTATGAGATGGACCACCACTGCCCGTGGATAGGTCAATGTATCGGCCACGACAATCATAAGCATTTACTCCTGTTCATGATCTACCTTATCGTTTTCCTGGGGACATCTTTGCTGCACATTTTGGTTTTTAAAGACAAAGGGCGTACCTCTATTCTTTTAGAGGACACATCTTCAATTTTGCTATTTGTGGTTATTTTATCTGGAACCTTCATAATAATCCTACTGGTGTTTTTTGCGCAGGATTTGTTTTTATTGGGAAAAGGCGACAGCACACTGCGACTGTTGCGACGGGAGGAGCGCAGAGATTATGAGTCGCGGCGCCGCGGGGCGTATGCCTTTTTGATTGACGATAACAGCGACAGCGGCGATGGGGTTGCGGCGCGGAGGTTTGATTTCAAGAACTTGCGTCGTGTGTTTGGCACGGGCTCCGTGTGGCCGTGGTGGTTCCTGCCGCTGCGGCCCCAACGACCGTCGCCGGTGGAACAGGAAGCTGAGCTTTGGGCCGCGCACAGAGCGATTGCGCTGCGACAGCTGCGGGCAATAGCGGACGCCGATGATACCAGCGGCGGCAGCAGCGAGGAGGAGATGAAGGAGGAATAGGGAGGCAGCGGAGGGTTCCAACGCCTGTGAGGCCTCTGGAATTTATCGCGTGTATGCGTGCGCATTTTTTTTTTGTTTCTTTTCTTTTTTTGTGGTGCAGAACCCAACGGGACGACATGTTGGATGCGGGGGGACGTGTGGGACTGAGAAAAAGAGGAGGAGAAGGAAATGTGTGTGCCTGCATGTATGTGGAGCGGGCCGCAAAAGATGCTTCTGTTCACAAGAAGATTAAAAAAAAAAAAAAAAAAAAAGGGAGACAAGCGGCGGCCAAAGACGCCGGGTATTTTGAACGAGCGAGTAGTAATAAACTTTTGCGTGGGGGGTGTGCTACCCGGGAAGATGTGTGGTTATGCTCAGGCGTGCCTGTTCTGCCTGTCTGTCTGTCTGTGTAGGACGGGGGATAAACCGAAGGGCCGCTGCGGCATGCCGATCACAGTGCCACACACACACAGTCGTCGTGTAAAAAAAAAAAAAAAAAAAAAAAAGCAGACGGAGAAGAAAATGGAAATGGAAAACAAAACAAAACAAAATGAAAGGGAACAAATACACCAATTTATAACGTTTTTGGCATGAGCGGAAGCTTCTATTTGTGTCTATTGTCATTGCTTTAGAGGGGTGATGCCTCCTCTTTCTTGCAGGGAATGACGAGAATGAGAAGAGGACGGTCTATCTCCTTCTCTCCTTCTCTCTGTGTGTGCATTTTTGGCCGACGGATGTCATTTCCTGCGAGTTCCTCTCTTTTTTGTTTCCTTTACTGTCTGTGCTTTCTTTTTTTCCGTTTGGTCTGTGCATCACGCAACCACCGTTGCCGGCAAAACACACGTCATTGCGGCGGAGAGAGGAAGCATCCAAAGAGAAGCTCTATTCTTTACATATATATATATATACATACAAGTATACAAATAAACAACAAGCAAGGCAAAAAGGTGCAGCGGAAAAGAAAAAAGAAAAGAAAAGAAAGGGCGAGAGGCACTCGCGCACACGAAGAAGACATATTTTCATACAGACGGACGTGTGTGAAGCATCCTGACAGGCCCGTCGGCAATTGTCAAGCGAGGGACGAGAGGGGCGCGGGAAGTTACACTCACAAAAGGGGGCGGGGGCGAATTCTCGTTGACTCTCGTCTAGCGGGACCTCACGGCGGAAGGAGGCGTAGGCCGTGAGACGAACAGCGGAAAACTCAAAGAGAAAAAAAAATTAAGTACAACCGCCACCACCACCACCACCACAATAAAAAAAATATCAAAGGAATTCATAACCAACTAATAAAAGAGGGGAGTCATGTCAATTCATGGCGCCATCACATTCTTTCTGGATCAGGACCCCGGGGCCATTGGAGTTTCCGCGCTCTCTTGCTTAGCATCGAGCCTCAATGAACCCGGCGTTGCCCACTCTCTCGTTGAGCAACATCGTCCTGCATGCAAGGAGGTGCTCTCGCGGCTTGTGGCCGTTGCAAATGATGCTGGCAAGAACCCTAACGCACGCATTTTGGCACTGGAAAGTCTGTATGGCATTTCAAACTTTCCCGATGTCAGGTTTCGCACTGGGGATTTACTTGACGCCGTGCAAAAGTTGAATGAATCGTTTGAGGAGTTTCTCGAAACACAGTCTACGGGGAATGGTGATGCACAACTCGAGATGCTGACGGTGCTGTTGTTTCGCTGCAGTGACTACATGCGATTGAAGGCGGGGGATCTGTTACGGCAGTTGTATAATAACGACGACGCACGACTCGTGTCGACGCTGCAGATGATCATGAAGAAACGGTCATTGGAGTGGAATATTGTGCATGCCTGTGTGCGTTGCATGTATGAGTTGACCACCCCAGTGACTTACTTCACCGCCCCTGATGAGAATCTTCCCATTGAAACAACAAAGGTGAGTGCCTTTCAAGAAAAAATAACGACGATCCTCATTCATTTCTCTGAGGGTAAAGCGCTGCAAGAACTGTTTGCGGAGCTCGGCGCACGCTGGGCCATCGCCGTGGGTGAGGAGCGGATTGAACAGATTTTGGAGGGCCAAAGCCCCGTGAAGGACTCCGTATGTGACGGTGTAGCGATGAGGTTCTTGGGGTTGTTCCGTTACTTGGCGGTGATGCTGCTCAACTTGGCCGACTTTTGCGAGCGGATGGATCTTGTGCGTGGCTACCAGCGATCTTTCATCACGCAGCATCAGAGTTTTCTTGGCGACACGGTGATACCCTTTTTGTCTCTTACACTTCTTTGCTGGGAGGCCAGCTGTGACACAACACTGGAGTCGCAGAACAATCCATTCATGAATGTGGCCATTTCGGTGTTGCGTTTGCTGCGTTTTGCCCTTTACCGACCGTCACAGGCGTTGCAGGAATCCCTTGCGCTGTCGCTCAGGGCTCTGACGCGACATGTGCATCGGCTGGAGTCCCTCCTCTGCAAGGAGTATGTGGGCATGCTCGTCATTGTTCTTACCGTGGAGGTGCTGTGCAATGTGAATGCTGTCAATGTGGAGCCGCTCACCGCGGACTTCACTGCGCTGGTGAATTTGATATCAACCGACACGAACCCGCTACGCCCTGGGGCGCATTTCACGGTGGCACAGGCCTTCACATATTGCCTTTCGAACGAGACGTCAATGTACTGTGCCCCGGACAATGAGTCGGTATCCCTGCTGCGTCAACGGCTCAGGTTTGAGGATGCGGAGATGGCCAACGAGGCGGCGCGGGTGGTGCAGGCGTTGGAGGAGCAGTTGGGCATGCTGCAGACGCTCATGATGGAACTGGCCGTTGGACAACTTATTGGTGATCTCTCACTTTTTGCATCATATGCCACGGGATCGATTCCCTCTGGGCAGGCGCCGCCTGTGAAGACTGGTGCCTGTGACACAAAGCAAATGCCAGAAAAGGAAAAGAAAAAGACGAAGCACCCGGCCAAGTATGTCTGCATGCTGACACGAAAACTGATGCGGGAGCCTGTAGTGTTGCGCAACGGTCATCACTTTGAGTTAGACGCGCTACAGGAAGTCGTGGATCGCGTTGGCCACGTGGATCCCCTCACTGGCGAGGCTTTTGACGAGGAAATAGAGGTGGATATGGGTCTGCAGCAGGAGATTGCACAGTACCGAATAAAAATGGCTGCTCGCGGGGATAATGAAGCAGCAGGGCAAGAATTTCAAATGGGCACTTAGTTATTTAAATATATACACATGTATACAAATGTCCATGCATCGACATAAAGGCTTTTGCCTGTGTGACTACATATTCCATTATTTGATTGCGTACACATATATTTAATATATATATATGTATATGCGTGTGCGACTAAATGTTTTTTTTTTTTTTTTTTGCGTGCGTGCGTGTGCGCTGATGGTGTTTTTTTCTTTAATGGTTTGCCATTTTAAGTGAGGATATCTTTTTTTTTTTTTGTTGTTGTTTTTTTCTGCTTCTTCCCTTTCTTTGCGTGTCGTTGGGTGGTACATTTTTTTGTTCGCGTTTCAGCTGCGCCGATTTTAGTGTATTTGTGGGTATGTGTTTGTTTGTGTGACGCCTGGGGGAGGCGTGTGGGGAGAGGCGCCGGCGACGGGACGGAGGGATGGAGGGAGGGGGGCACGGGCGGTGGAATTCTTCGCCCGCTCACTCGTTTGTTCCCGCGGCGAGCCAAAAGAAAAAAAAAAAAAAAGGGAAAAGGAGAGAAAAGGAAATAAAAGAGAAATACGCCTGGGAGACAACGGCGTGAAGAAAGTACACGGGGGGTGGGGCGTGTGGCAGCGTGGGTCATTTGCAGCCACACACGCAGACAACAATGAAAGAAGTGAATGTACACATGCTGCTTTTGCGCGTGCGTGTTTTTTTTTTTTTTTGGTTTGTTTGCTCGTGCGGGAGAGTGAGGCGTTGCTGCGGGCGAGAAGGCACAAACACGGACGTGCATGCATACATGCATGTCCAATTGACACACACACACAATTGCAGTAGACATGAGGCAGCCCTTTCCCCCCTTACTCCTCTTCACACTTCTTCAAGCAAACACATAGCGGATGGTCATTTTTTTTTCTTTTTTCTTTTGTTTTTTATGTTCATTTTTTTTTTTTTCCTGTCTGTCTTACACAGCAATGTATAGAATTTCAATATTGCCTCACTCGGCACACACACATACACACGCAATATATATATTATATATATTTTCATCCACGAAAAGAAACGGGGCGAGGGACGCGTTATAAAACGAGTTGGATCAATCAGACAGTTGTGTATGCGAACAGCAGTACGGCTCTATTAACTGAGGGGTGTGTGTGTGTGTGAGTGCAGGGACGTGTTGTTTCAGGCGTATTGTGTTTATTGTCTCTCTCTTCGTGTGACGGGATTTTGCGTTTTTCTTTTTGTTTAAACGTCTTTTTTTTTCTTTTTTTTTTCTGGACGGGGAGAGCAGCACCTACACAGCGGGGCAGCAAAACAGCGAACACGAAAAACAATAAAAGGAATCAAAAGGAAAGGAAAGAAATAAAAAAGGGGGGATAACCTTTTTTTTTTTTTCCACAGGATTTGACAGGATTTTTATTCTCTCTTTTGGGTACAGCCACAATTGATATATTTTCACATTGCCAGACAGGAGAAAAGAAGTGGAAGTTGCAGTGGGCTATTTAACAACAGGGACGCTTCTCTGACGACTGAGTCACAAGAGGATATATAATTGGAGAGAGAGAGTGTGTGTGTGTGTGTGTGTACATTTCTGTCTATGGGGGCTGGTGTGTTTGGTTTGGCCCTGTGGGGCGGCATCGTCTCCGTTCTGTTGACGGCGGCGTTGACATCCACCGCGTCCCCGACAGATGGACCGCGGATGACGGCGGAGCAGCACCACCGCACGTCGGAGCGTGTGATTGAGCACCACTCCTTTTCCCCGCCGCTCCTGCGCAACTACTACGGCGAAAACGAGCTGCGGCACTGGGCCATCGGCGGCACCACCGTCATCACGGACAATTACGTCCGCCTGACGGCAGACCGTCCCGGGCAGGTGGGGCACTTGTGGAACACGGAGCCGCTGGACATGCCCTCCTTTGAGATTGTCGTGGGGTTTCACTTGCACGGCAAGGGCACCGGCGCCGATGGCTTTGCGTTGTGGATCACGACTGACAGGCCGAGCCACAACGGCCCCTTGATGGGCAGGCCGATGGAATTCACTGGCCTCGGCATCATTTTTGACACGTACGACAACGACGGCCTCCGTGACAACCCGGCGGTGTACGTCCTCTTCAATGACGAAAAGCAGAGGAACCGGCAGTACAATACACAAAAAGACTTCAAGGGGGAATATGTGGGGAGCTGCAAATACGCCTACCGCCAGACCTCCGCGCTGCCCTCGACAGCGCGGATTCGGTACGAGGGGAATGCTCTGCAAATTTTTCTCTCTCTTGATGGCGAGAGGAATGAGCTGCAGTGCACCACCATCTCCGACCTCCGCCTTCCGATCGGCAAGGGGGGGTATTACATTGGGCTGAGCGCCGAGACCGGCGACCTCGCCGACAGTCACGACATCCTCTTTGTCCACACTATGCCGATCGAGGGGGTCAGTTACGACCATGACGTTTACAGCAGACGGACTCTCAATCAGGAGGTGGAGAGTCACCGTATACTCTTATTCCCTGAAAGACATCAAGAGGAAATCCGGCGACATGTGCAACAACAACAGCAACAACAGCAGCAGTATGAACAGCCGCAGCAGTATGAGCAGCCGCAGCAGCATTATGAGCAGCCGCAACAGCATGAGCAGCCGCAGCAGTATGAGCAGCCGCAGCAGCATTATGAGCAGCCGCAACAGCATGAGCAGCCGCAGCAGTATGAGCAGCCGCAGCAGCATGAGCAGCCGCAACAGCATGAGCAGCCGCAACAGCATGAGCAGCCGCAGCATTATGAGCAGCCGCAACAGCATGAGCAGCCGCAGCAGTATGAGCAGCCGCAGCAGCATGAGCAGCCGCAACAGCATGAGCAGCCGCAGCAGTATGAGCAGCCGCAGCAGTATGAGCAGCCGCAGCAGCATGAGCAGCCGCAGCAGCATGAGCAGCCGCAGCAGTATGAGCAGCCGCAGCAGTATGAGCAGCCGCAGCATGAGCAGCCACCGCCGCCACCGCCGCCACCGCCCCCACCGCCGCCACCACAGCAGCGACAACAGCTGAGTTCTTATGCTGCAGATAAAGAACGTCTGAGAGAGTTGGAGAGGGAGCTGCAGGAACTTAAGCAGCGCCGACGTGCACCACGCCCGGACCGTTACCTTGACGAGGAGGAAATGGATGATGAGGGTGGTCTGGAGGAAGCACAGGAAGGCAATGACGAGAGGGAAAATGCGGACGACGATGGGTACGACGACCAGCCGCGTCGACGTGGGGGTCGTCGAATTAAATCCATGCGGAACTTTCGTAGACGTCGGTAGAAGAACCGGAAAAGGAGAGATGCTTGACGCACTGACAAACACACACACACACGCAGACGGACGGGGGGACGGCGTGAATGGCAGCACCGAATGATGGACGACGCAAAGCAGAGGAAAGAAACGGGAAACGGAACAGAGAAGAAAACGAAATACGCCAATTAGTCAGGAGGAGAGGAGGAGGAAATAAAAGAAGAAGGACGAAGAAAAAACAAACAAACAAACAAAAAAAGGAGGCGGTAGGTGGAAAGGAGAAATGATGCGGAGCGAAATGTACGAAGAGCGAGTAAGCAAAACCCACTGAAAGCACCCAATGGAGCAAAAAAAAACAAAAAAAAAGGACCTTTTCTTTTGTTTTTTTTTTCTTTTTTTGATTGGAGGGCATAAATTATTTTTTTAAATGCTTTCCACCCACCCCGCTTCTGACTTTTACCACGATGTTTTATTCCAAAACACACACACACAAACACACGGGCACACAGATACGTTCAGAGGTGTATACATGAATGCGTGTTGGGCTGTAGAAACACTGAGAGAGAGAGAGGGAGAGAGGCCCGTGGCCCCACATTTCATCACGCTCGTTGCACACGCGTTTTTCTTTTCTTTTCCATTTTGTTTTTGTTTTTTTTAATGGAACCGACAAAAAAAGGAAGTAAAAAAAATTTTTCTCTGTCCCTCTCCCTCTCTGTGTGTGTGTGTGATTGTTAGGCCTTTTATTTATTTATTTATTTTTTTGCGCTGTGCGGATAAGTCTGTGGTGCCTGAAGCTGTCGCATGGGGCGTGGGTACAGCAACAGCCGCAGCAAGAGTGCGCGGCCGACCCTGCGGATGAAGCGCCGGCGGTCATTTTCGCTGCAGCAATTGAGAGGGTCCGTGCGGCCGGCCCACACGACGCGCCAGAAAGTCGCTGCTTTCCCAAAGCCGGAGGCCCAAACCCCAACGGTAGATGCGGGACACAAAACCTCAGCAAAGCGGGCGCCAACGCCGCAGCGAGGCGGCAGTGCGAGGGTGCGGTCTGCGTCCACGATTCGTCAAAAGCTCGCGCTCATGGAGAAGGAACTCGAGGGTGAGTTGGAGCCGGCAGAGCGGGTGGCAGAGACAATTGTGAAGCCGGACGTTAGGACAAAATACAAGTCTGCCGGGCGTGCTCTTGACGAGGTGATGGACATCCTCGCAGCTGCGTGCGTGCCAGGGGCAACCACAAAACAATTGTGTGATCGTGGCGATGAAGAACTTCTGCAGCGGGTGCGAGCGATGTTCTCCAAGGCGAAGGACGCGGACGGTAACCGCATTCTCCGCGGTCTCTCGTATCCAACAAATGTCTCGGTGAATTACGTCCTCTGCAATCATGCGCCGTTGGTAGAAGAAGAGGCCGTCGTGCTGCGCGGTGGCGATGTGGTGACGATTCATATGGGGTGCCACATTGACGGCTACCCGGTCACTGCAGCAAGAACGGTTTTTGTGCCACATGACGTCACTGCTGAAAATGAAGAGGTGCGGCAACTCACTCAGGGGGCAAGTAACGCGGTGGAGGCGGCACGTGTGGCATTGCACGGAATGATTCATCTCCTGCAGCCAGGCATGTTGAACGCGGATATCACAGACTTTATACACCGTGTGGGAAATTACTTTGAAGTCCAGGGACTAGAGGGCGTACTCTCAAACCGCACAAAACGATGGGTTCCAGATGGCATGGAATGCATCATCACACGACGTGTGTCAGCGGAGGACCCTCACCAGGACGTTGCAGATTGTACCATAGGTGCAAATCAGGTGTGGACGCTGGATGTAGCCTTTACCGATCATCCCTCGTACAAGGTGTCACCTGCTGATGGTGTGACAACAATTTACCGTCGTAACGAAGTGGAATTTCAGAGTGACGCCCGCGTGCGTTCTGTACTTGCCTCGCTACAAGAAATTACAGGGAAGCACCAGTGTTTCCCGTTTAGCCTTAAACACTTGGAGAACCCTCTTAAGGCACGCATGGCCGTGGCGATGTTGCGGCGGCAGGGCGTTATTGACCCTCTTTCTGTCCTGCGCATCAAAGGGGAGCGCCACATCACCGCACGTTTTTCCGCCACGGTGGCCGTCTCTGAGAGGCGCGTGACGGTGTTGTGTGGGCTGCCACCAGCAGAGCCGTTGGTTGTGCCGGACGACGTGCGACCTCCGCCTCTTCCAGATGACATCGCTGCCCTGTTATCCGACCCCCTCGTCTTTGCAAATGCAGGGGAGAAGCAGCAGGAGAAGAAAATAGACAAGGAAGAAAATAAGAAGGGGTTACATGCCGTAGCGGATTTCAATGCCAATGAAAAGGAACAGCAGGAGGAATGACAATGGGGGTGAGACAAACGTCTTTTTGGTTTGCTTTGCCACTTTCTCTTCTCCCCTCTTGCCTCCTCTCTCCCTTTGTCTTTCTTCTACACGTGTAACGGCTAACGGCGGATGGCCCATGAGTAGGGCGACGCCGCGGCGGAGAGGGCACCGGCTTCTCCCCCGCAGCCAAATTGAAAAAGGAAAATAATAATAATAAAGAGATGAGCGGAGAAAAAAAAAGAAAAGAAAAATGTTGTTGTTAAATTTAGGGGTGAGGAGACATGAAGGGGATAATTCACTCAGCCATTGCAGACAGTAACAAGGATGGGTGAAGAGCGGCAAAGGACGGCGCGGCCTTCACGTTGGGGGAGGAGGGACCAAATGAATAAAGAAGGAAAGTGATGTTTGTTGCCGTTTATTTCCTCTTTTTTTTCTTTTTCCTTTTTTCTTTCTGCTTGTGTGCATCCGCAATGATTGGACCGTAAGCGTGAGGCACAACGATCTCATCAGTGCATGCTCCCTGCCGCAGTCGTCTTGACGATACGCGAAGGGTCGGGTGCTGTCGTATGAACGGGAACTTTTTTTTTTTTTTTTTTGTTTGCATCTGGTTGTATTGGGGGTGTCGCTCTTCTTTCCTTTCCTTTTCTTTTCTTTTGTCTTGTCTTTTCTTTGCTGCACTGCCTCCGTTTTGGGCTTAGATATCACACGCGTGACGAGTCAAGCCAGAAGTTTTTACCGGCACGTGGAGATAACAACACACCGGCGTCGCGTAAAGGGGGAGGAAGCGAGAGAGAGAGAGAGAGAGAGAGAGAGAGAAAGAAAGAGAGAGGGAACAGAACCAACCAACCAGCGAGTGGAGGGTTTTTTACCTGCACCGTCTGGGGAGGAGGGGGAGGTTTTGGGTTCAGTCAACGCGGGAGGGACATTTTGACCGACGAGGGGGGCCGCGAGGAGAAAAGTGGGGTGGGAGGCGAGAGAGGGGGTGGAAAAAAAAAAAAAAA